TTTAGGCGCCCTTTAGCATCAGTTAGATGACGCCCTAGTATATATATATATATATATATATATATATATATATATATACTGCATTGTATGTAATAATTCTTGTGGTTTGAATATTTAAAGATGTTCTATAGATAAAAGGCATGCATGGACAGAAAAGTGAACTGCACAATTTCATTCTATTTCCGGCATTTACATTTACGATAGGTCTTAATAATAAATTAATAAACTGCACTCATTCTGTCCCACATTGCACTGCAATAAGTGTAGGCCTACAGCTGATGTATGACCAATGGCTGTCCGAATTCGCTCACTTTTCATTCACTCCTTCAAGTCAACCATATTAGTGGACTAACTTAGGGAATAAAATGAGGGTTTAGGGGGTGATTTTAGAATCAGGCTATCACTTGTTTTTGCCTCTTCTTCTCTCGTTTTTGGCGGGCAAACGTAATGTTAATAATTTACCCGCCATTGATGAATTTTTTGGGCTTTCTGCGTTTTCACTGTTATGTGATGGGGGCGCTATTATTCAACTTTTTAAAGGGTACAGAATCTGCGATCAATACACATGGGACACGTTTTTTTTATATAAAACTTACCTACATTCAATTGTGAATGTGAAAACTTACCCACATTCAAAAACACTTAAAAAAAAATTAAAGAGTAACTAAACCAACTTTTTTTAGTTAATGATCTGTGAGAATGGATCTTTATTAATACCAGGCACTGATTTTAGTAACTTTTTTGAAATTTGTGTTTAAAGTGTTTTATTTCTACAGTATAGGGTGTAAAAACGTCTTAGTGCTGCCCTCTTCAGGTTGAACGGTGGCTACTGTAGTTGAATTTTTCTATTGGATTTTAGCGGTTCTTCGTGACGTACGCACGTTTCAGCTCACCACGCTCTTGGTACGAGCTACGCCCTTCGCAGTATAAAAACCCAACGCATTCTCACCCCAAGGCGTCACCTTTGACCATGCTTCAATATTTGACGTTTTAGGCGCCCTTTAGCGTCACTTACATGACGCGATCCTACGGCGTCATCTAACTGACGCTAAAGGAAAGCGTCAGTTAGAGGACGCGGTTAGGTTTAGGTGTGGGGTGGGGGTAGGGTACACGCGATCCTAGGGCGTCATCTTACTGACGCTAAAGGGCGCCTTAAGCGTCAGATATTGAAGCATGTCCAAATGCTTCCCAAGGCGTCAGTTAAGTGACGCCTTGGGGGTGAGAATGGGCTGAAAAACCAGCTTGTTTCGTCAAAACCACTGTAGCGAGTCAGGAGTTGGAATTGCGAGTATTGAAAACGATCAGGATGGAGTGCTATAGCATCTATTTCGTCCTCTCTATCTCCGCTGGGGTCTGCCCACTTTTTCAGCATTTTTCAAATATTGCCAGTGGGTGGAGTCAGGCTCTGACCAGGGCTCTGTCGTTCCTCTATTGAATTCCTCTCTGCCCTGCGCTTTGCATTTTTTAAACGTAAAACATGTTGTGTATAAAATCCCCCAAACTTTATTAATTCATTATTAAGACCTATCGTAAATGTAAATGCCGGAAATAGAATGAAATTGTGCAGTTCACTTTTCTGTCCATGCATGCCTTTTATCTATAGAACATCTTTAAATATTCAAACCACAAGAATTATTACATGCAATGCAGTATATAAAAAAAATATCTTCAGACAGAACTGAAGTGGCATTTGTTTTTGAAAAACCTGTCCCATGTGTCCTTAAAATCCAAGTTTTATGTCTCCTTGCAAATGTCTCCGGAACAGCAACTCTGAGTGCATTGTAGCTGGTATTCATATCCATTAATTAATTTCAGCTGTCAAAGCAAGCAGATCATCACTCTAATTCAAAGACTAGCTGAGATGTCATTTGCTTTTCATTATTTCATAGTCTAGTATCCATAAATTATTCAATCTAAGCATTTTACATCATAGATTATTTATGCTTTGTAGCACTTTGACAAATTGTATTGTGACAGCGGTACCAATGGAGAATTCTTGAGAACTGGATATGAAGGGAATGTCATTCAAATTCATTCAGGGTTTGGGGACGATTCAGCATGTTTGCTGTGTTCTGTAATAAACATTCCCCAGTCCCAGTGTTTACAACGGTTCCCTCATAGCACATGATAATCAATTGTTTATATCAAGGTTTCAATTCACTTTCTTCACAAACCCAGCCGTAAGAAATGTTCACCCTGAGCGAATATAAATTGAACTCGACAACGGGTGACAGCAGAGTAGAAATAGCACTGTTTATGTTTATCTTTGCTTTAGGTTTTGTTTCTTTTCATTGTAGAGGAGAATGCTGGGTACGTGCCACCCCATTGAGCGAGCCAGTGTTTAAGTGTGCTCCTGGGACGCCGAGAGATTTGAGCACAAACAGTAAACTCACTTATGAAATCTACCTGCAATCTTACACTCATTGGCGTTCTCTTTCTTTATTTTCATGAGAGGCTCTTCCTAAGGTCACCCGGCAGTACAGAACGTCGATCCGCCAATCGAAGATGTGGGCCGTGCACAGCATGTCTCCTCCCAGGCTGTTTAAAGCACTTAGAGGCGGGTTGTGTGCAGAAAATAGTATGAATACATTATTTGAGTATTATGGACTTGAATGAGCGTTTATTCTGCAAATACCACTCAAACACATCCACAAATGCAGTGCTGCTGTTCTTTGAAATATTACTGACCTATTGGTGATTCTCATTTCATTTTTCTTCTGTCAGCGACAAGTCGGATCTGCAATGGCAGGCCGTGGCCACCAGGGAGTAACAAAAAATGTCTTCAAATATTGATTCTTAAACCCAAAGTGATGTTGGGTAAGACTCAGACTATGTATCAGGTCTGAGCACAGCAGACTCTCTGGAGGAAAAGCCTTCATTCGTTGTCGGCATCTATTTTTAGCGTATTTCTGCTTCCCAGGAGAGCCTTTTTAAATGGATCTGTAGATAAACACATGGCACAGACGCAAACATGCACACCTTTGCAGTCTAAAAGATGACAAAACGTTCACAGTCTTCATATGTGCACGTCCAGTTGACCATGTGAAACGAGAACAGGATGCGTTTTTCCCATTAGTTAAAGACCTAAAAATACACCCAGCCCATCCCAGGAGAGGGCTGGTGGTATCCTGGGCTTCAGTAATGAGAATTCAAGATGGCACTCAACCCCATGTCCCAAAGCTCAACGCTGGAATCACAGTGGTTCTGATACATTCATCACAGCTCACAAAGCAGACGGCTGGAGTCTGAAGGGGCTTTGAAGGCTGGAAGACGTCTGGGCTGGCCCAGGGCGACCCTAGCGTACAGGGCTGTCTTGAAGAGAGAAACCCTCATTCAACACTTCACAAGCCAGAGCCCTAAGAAAGCTGTTTTACAGAAATACAGAGATAAAGGCACAATGTGCAGCGTCCTTTTTGCAAGTTCGATCCAACCCAGGAAAAGGTAAAGCTCAGCAAGAGTGAATAAAAGGGCCGATTGGAGTTCAGAATTCAAGTTTGGGTTTAAGCTGTGGAGTCTGAGCAGGAACTCATTGAGATTAGAAAATCAATGATGAATGGGGGAGCTGATTCTATTTCAAATTTTATTACATTGCAATATTGGGCATGAGTTATGCCTCTTCACATCAGAGCTTATCTTTAAACATGTTCATAATCTCAGTAAGCACATTGCTAGCCTGTTTTTAGAACTTTACAAAGTACTTTTGAGAGCTTTACAGTTCAAAAAAAATTGAAAGTTAAAAACAAAAAAAGTTAAAAGTGCACTAAGTAACTTACTGGTTTTGTTTCACTGGCAAATAAAACAATGGCCTTTGACTTTATACTGACACTTTGTGGCGTGGATGTCTTTGTTTTTTTTATGCAGATGTATATTTGGCACCCTGTTATTATTTTATTCTGAAACCAACAGTGTCTGGTAATGGGGGGTTGCCATTTGGTGTGTTCAACTTGATGCGGCGCTGTGCAGACCGATAGGTGTATGACATCAAAGTACTGCAAGAGCGATTAGAGCGTAAATGGCTTTGTATGCTTTATAATCACTTTCACTGTACTTTGATGTCATACGCACGGTCAGTCTGTGTATCGCCCCTTTAAGTTGAAGACACCTAATTAGTTGTATTCAAAGAGTCATGTGATCTTGACATGATGGTCCCCATGAGGCTCCCATCTGCCTTTTATTAAGTCATTGCCATTTTAAACATATTTGTCAGTTGTTGTTACTTTTTATTTAGATGTTAAATCTAGTACAAAAAAACTTAGTGCACTTTTAAGTGGTTTGTAGATCTTTTTACAGAGTAACAGATGTTTTTAGCCAGCTGTTAGTTTTAAAAGTTTTTGAAGGGAATTGCATCTGTAAAGCTCACATTACGTAACATTTTTACAGCTAGAAAGAGCTGTATTTTTACTGTAGTTTACCATTGTTTTACTTATGTCTACTTCACTTGCATTTCTACTTTGCATTTGTGGAAGGAAGCTTTATAAATATTTCTCTCTTGAATTCCATCTTACACCAACAGTAAAAGACTAGAAAACCAAAAAATGTCTCCATATAATCTTATATAGTGCAACAACAACAAAAATTGCCCATTCATTATTAATTTGTTGTTATGATCCAATTCAGAAAGCCTAATTCGAAGTGAAAAATTACTGAAAGGGTTAGTTCACCCAAAAATTCAAATTCTTTCATTAATTACTCACCCTCATGTCATTCCAAAAACGTAACAAAATCTGAAAATCTTTTTGATTAAATCTGAGAGCTTTCTGTCCCTCCATTGACAGCTACGCAACTACCACTTTGCCGCTTCAAAAAGTTCATAAAGAGATCGTAAAACTAATCGATATGAATTGAATGGTTTAGTCAACATTTTCTGAGGAGACTCAATCACTTTATATGATGAACAAATTGAATTTAGGCTTTTATTCACATATAAACATTCATCAACTCACACATCAATGGTAAACGGAAGCTCAAGAATGTTTGCTTGATGTGTGAGAACCAATGAGATTCATTCTCATGTGATCAAGCTTCTGTTTATGTTTGCTGATATGTAAATAAAAGAGTAAATTCAATCTGTTTATTATATAAAGTGAACCGCTCAATTAATATAGATTAGCTCTTTATGAACTTTTTGAAGTGTTAACGTGTCAGCTGCGTAGCTGTCAATGGAGGAACAAAAGCTCTCAAATTTCTTAATTTGTGTTCCAAAGATTAGCAAAAGTCTTACAGTTTTGAAATGACACGAGGATGAGTAATTAATGACAGAATTTTCATATTTGTGTGAACTAACCATTTGACATTTCCAGGGTAATGACCTGACCAAGAGGAGCAAATTGACAATAATTTGTGAATTGCACATTCAGAGCAATCTTCTCCCTTCTCATGAATATAAAGTTCGCTGTGTGCTGAAAAGCAGATAAACAGTGTTAAACTACTGTCTCATCATCATCAACCTGACTAACTTGCACACTAGACACACAAGCTCCCAGACAGGTCTGAACTGTCCGTAGTTTGTCCTTTAAGTCCCACATACAATAATCTCTCTCACACATGCACACACATACACACTAGAGCCGATGGAAATCCAGAAATTCACTTTCAGCTGATGGATACAGTACATGAGCACCTGTGTGTCCAGCATCTTCAGTCGAACCTCAGGTTTATATAGAGATCCTTCAAAAGACAAGGCAGCCAACTATAGTCTACTATAAGTTTGTCTGTCTTTCGCTTGTATGGAATCATCCTTAATGTCAGTGTCTTTAACAAGATATTTTCCATTAGGGGTTGTTGAGGCGTCTTGGGCCTCTTGGTAAGGCAGCCATGTTCTTGCTATCGTGTGACCTACAAATAAAAAGAGAGGTAGATTAAGGAACGCTATGGCACAATCACTAGAATGGCAAAACTTTGAGGTGTTTGAGAGGTCTTTTAGAGCCATTATGTATATATATATATACATATATTACGCCATAGGATAATCATTTTGAAGAAGAAGTAAGGGTTGGTGCTAGACAGTCTTTCGACTGTGGAAAAGGCTAGAATTCATGATTTTGGAATGCAAATAAGTGTAAAATAGTTTTTGAGCTTGATTTCTCTTAAATGTAACTTGACAAAGAAGAAGTAAAGCTTTACGAGACAAGTTATGGATTCATGAGTCAGATCCTTTGTGCTACACCCTTTTGGAATGGCGAAGAACGGTAAGTGACTCGAATCATCATTACAAGGCTTATTCACAGCAATAAGCAAAAATAATTTTCTTAAATCAACAATATCAGTGCATTAACTAACGTTAACAGATACAAATTTTGATTTTTGTAATGTATTATTAAATGTTGACATTAACCAGCCCACTCTCATCCTTTTGCGTCACATAGAACGCCGTATGACAAAACGGCGCTATACTACACACATGGCACCCTTTATCGTTAATATTCACCCGAACCCAAGGCGTCATAAATCCTTTAGCGTAATATGAGACTACCCTACCCTACCCCACACCTAAACCTAACCATCACAGCGCGTGTTATATTAACGATATAATACAATATAGCCTACTAGCCGAGACTCCTTCTTTATGTGAACAGATGTGACCTAATGACGCAGTGATCGAATTTCCCACGGAAATCCACCAGTACCACTGAAATTAAAAATATTATTATAAGCTCACGAATTAAGCTAAGGCAAGCCAAAATATTTTTTTATCTAAAAGACTTACGGACTGCAGCAGCTTTAATTGTAACAAATGAAATCTAATTATAACGTGCTACCATAAGTTCCTTTAGTGTTGGAAAGGAAAATGAAGCTGTATGGCAGGCAGCTATTCCACAGAAAGGCAGACAGTAGAGAAGGATAATACAAACAAAAAGGAGAGATATTAAGCAGAGGGTAAAGGAGGTGAATGTAAAGATATGAGACGGCAGATGGAAAGAGACAGAGAAAACGCAATATGTATCTCGGCGCATTGCCACAATCTCCAGTGACAAGTGCACTGAAGCCTGCTGGTTACTGTTCCATTTCCACCTCTATTAAATACAGAATTAATGCTCATTGGAGTAAGATACCCCCCATCCCCCCTCCTCATCTGTGCTCAACGCAGCCTATTGGCCTCCTGAGGGGGCAGTAGGCAGGGCTTAGCCGACTGACAGTCAGCTCAGCCAATACTGGACTCAACCAACAGAGTCATTAATCCTGAGTGAAAGACCCAAAGCCGTCATTCATTTCTCGTCTCTCCCTCTTACCAATTTAATTAGGACTCTTAATTTGAAAGCCTCAGTGGAGCTCATTGCCATAATGCATTTTAATGAACACAACAGATGTTCTGCTGTTACTTTATAACTCTAAGCATTTATTCTTATAGCAGTTTTGTGTTCTCGTACACCGTTTTTTTTTTTTTCTTTAATACTTCACCTGTATGTCACACCTTCACGAAACAGCCATCACCCCGGGATCAACTGAACAAACCTCATCTCACCGATCTCAAATTCATTTACATTTTTAGCTTGAATATAGACATTTTGAGGCGTTAAACCATGAGAACCATTAGAACAAAATGTAGTCAATTTTAAAGTTTGCTTTCATTCTTTTTTCAAGTCAAAACTAGTATGGACAAACAATGTTGTCTGTGCATGTTCATCTATTGGCTGTTTTTTTTTTTTTTGTCCTTTGAACGTTTTCTCTGTGCTACTGAAGCTTTAAGAGATTGATTCTCTGAGCCACAAATTCTGTGGAGTAACTCTGAAATGTTATTTATCTCCAAGCTTTGCTCATTCTTTAATAAGTCTCTTTTAGAAAGTTTAAACGTATTTTGTGTCTGCCAATAACTTTCAGTAAAAAGTGCTATTTGAGAAGTCAACATAGTGCCCATAAAACAAGTGAACATTTTGAAAAGGTATGTTTTATTGTTTTACATATCTTAAATGACAATTTTATCTCATAACATACCACTTCTTGTACTCATACTCTCGCTTCAGAGAACCCTCTTACAAAAGTAAGGCCTCAACAAAATGCTGCTTTGAAGAACAGTTTGCCTGAGAAAAAGCTTTGGGAGAAGGGCTCCTCAAAGAAACGCCTTCTGAGAATACTCCCGGGGAGTGTTTTGATGGCATAGTAGCTCTTAGAAAGGTCTATTTAAAAGGTACTTTTATGGCAAAATGTTCTGAGATGCCTCTCTTACTATGGTCAAAAGACACTTTTGGTGCCAACCTGGGTCTCCACGTTTCAGAATGTGCAGCCTTGAAAAGGATAGTTTACCTAAAAATTCAAATTCTGTCATCATTTGCACACCCTCATGTCATTCCAAAACAATACTTTGGTTAATCTTCGAAACACAGATATTTTCAATGAAACCTGAGAGATTTCTGTCCCTCCATTGATAGTCCAGGAAACCGAAACTTATGAGAAGGGCTGTGCGTTTAATTGAATTCATAATAAAATCACAATGTGAGAATGCGAGATTTCTAAACCGCAGAAAGGACTATTTTTGCACCAATCCAAATGCAGCGTGCCTAAAGCTTGAGAACTGAACAGAGCGTGTTTACCTTTACGACATTAAAGGATCATGCTTTTAAATCATTCCTTTTTACATATAGGCCTAAATCATACATTTGTGGTCTATATAAAGTGAAACTGCAATGCTTGGGTCTGAATTCCTCATTATTATAGCTCCCCCTCGTTTTGGAGCGGCCTCTTTAAATAAAAAGGAGATGTGTCATACCCCGCCCACTCTCCAGTTCACACTCGTTTCAACTCCACCCTGTTCGGCCATTTTTGTAGTTTGATTAGAGATATGGTTATATAACATGTTAACAAAATGTCAACAATGGAAGACTTGTCCATCAAGCCTTACATGTTCAAGCCAGAGCGAGCGAGTTGAAAAAGATGACGACGAACCTGCAGAACAATGTCTTCATACGGATGTATTGCAGTGGTATGTAACTGTATTGTGTTATAAGTGAAAGTCGATTATTTTTCTTGTTAAAACAAGCACACTGACAAGATAAATGACTACGGTCTAATCTTACCACTAAAAATCTGTATTGATAATATGATACGTTTAGGTAAGCATCAGAAAACACAGCAGCTAAATGACCATTGATAAAACTCAAGAACAATAATACTGCAGACATGATACGTTACTTCAAAACAAAGACAAAGGTACTGCTAAACCATGGCCACCATGTGTTTTAAGAAAGTAAAGTACTTTATTTTTATTAACGATATTTACAGCTTTTTACAGCTTATCGAAATGCTCTGTTCGTCGTCTCCAAAGATAGAAGGAATTTACCCCTCATTTAGATGAATTTGATCGGCAAACCTTTCTTTATACTGGCGATGGTTGTTGAAGTGGGAATCCTTGAACTTCTGCATCATTGAGCTTGGACTACAAAATCGGAGCGAGAAGTAATAATGGCGGATTGCTCGAAGAGTTGGGCCGGTAGTCTGGCAGTTCCGCTGCAAATACTGTGACGTAATTGTCCAAAATACGTCATAAAGAACAGAAAAATCGGAACAGGTTGCAAAATATGACCAAAACAGAATATAAAGATATAAACAAAGCACCTGAAGAGAATAATTTAAACTTTTCTGTACTTATAAACACTCTAAATATACAACAAAATGCATTTAAGGAATTAAGCATGATACGTCCCCTTTAAAGAAGAAATCACAGAATAAGGACAACATCTGTGGTTTAGGAATATTTTGGATACAAAAGAGATGATGCATCACAGAGCGAGGTAATTTGCAAGACCTGTCAAACTATCATTGCGGCAAAACAGAGTAGAGAGCACGTTTTCTCTTTCAATGGAGGGAGAGAAACCTCGTAGGTTTCATTACAAATATTTTAAATTGTGTTTCAAAGATTAAACAAAGTCGTATGTGTTTGGAATGACATGAGGTTAATGAGACAATGATCGAAATTGTATTTTTGGGTGAACTATCCCTTTAATCAGTGTGGTCCTGATTTCCTCAAGGCTCCAATAAAAATCCGCAAAATGCAACTCTGGCTCATTCACCTTGGTGGTTTTGACTTTGTTACCAGTGCTGCAGGACCAACCAGTCAGGTCCGGAAGAACTTTACACTCCTCGCCGTCCATACATGGATGCATTTGGCACCACCACTTCTGCAGCACGATGGAAGCTGTAAGAGAAATGGGGAAAATTATAGGTTGAACTATTTATATCGTTATTACTGATATTATTATTATTTTCAGAGTACTGTACAGTACATCCCTGAACACCCATTTCCCAACTAAGAAATACAGAGGATGGAAAATATATAAAATATCAAGAAATAACTAGAATTTTCTCTTGAAGACGCCTACTGCGGCAGTCCTGGTTGGATAAACCGTTATTAACACCAGAGGACCACAGAGTGAAACAGCTTCCTTTTTGCTACCACCTTTATGTATCAGCGCAGGAAGTCATGCCCCTTTATTCTCTCTGTCTGAATAGTGCTACATTGGAAACATATTCTCCAGCATCTCTACACAACGAACCCATGATGTCTTCTCGAATATACATGATTGGCACCATGTGAATAATAACTCTTTTGACTACTTGTCCGCAATTGGCCGACCAAAATAAGTGGTCTCGCTCAAAATGTATGCTATCGCTTGAGCCAGTGTTATAGTCACAGCCTTCTCAGAGAACATAAATTCACAAATGATTTCACACAGTTTCCCAAACAGTGGTTTGCAAAGGAACTAATTAAAAAAAAAAGAAAAAAAAAGTAAAATACACATTTATAACCTTAAAATAAAAAACAATACAAAAAGAGTAAACATTTTATGTTTCTCTATATATCCATCTGACCATTAACCAACATCAGAGAACCATTACAGTTTTTTACAACTACTTACACTTCAAAACTTTGACTTTTTTTCATAAATTTATACACATGCTAAATGTCTCACATCTCTTGCAAAGTTAAGCATTGCATTCAAAATATCATATCTCAAAAGCAAACATTTGTCTTACTTTGCAAACAACTTTGCCATAATATTATATTTTTGGATATATCATATACACAGAGTTATTCAAAACCTAAAGCTCTTCTTTCTTTTTCTATGTACGTATATATCTGTAAAAGATTGAAAGTAATCGGCAAAGAGATGTTGACAAAATTGATGGTAAACACGAAAGCAAAATAGCAACCAAAACTATTTATTTTTTCATGTAAGCACTTCTGGTTGTGAATACAGTAGTACACATTCCGAAAAAAACTATAACTTGACCTTTGGCCTATTCTGAAGCCATGGTTGGTTTTAAGTAAAGCAAAGAGTGTTTGTGAGGAGTTAGTGTGACGCACTGATGAATTAGTGTGGCATTTTGATAGGTTGTGTTTGAAAAAGGAAATCAAGATACTTCCTGTACATTTTCTGTGAGTTACATAGAGAATTGTGTAGAGGTTTGCAAAAAGTGTATGGTTTAGCAGACGTGGTTCAGGTTGTTCAGGTGAGTGTCAGGTTTCACAAATTGTGCAACAATTAAAGATTTTGTGTGTAAGTGTAACAGACGTTTATATGTTAATCTCTGAGATGAAACATTAGGACACGCAAACAGCTCAGTTACTGAACATCCATTTTATTATATCACTTTTTTCTCATCACTCCTCAACCTTAACTGAACAGGAGTGCCCTCTAGTGTCCAGTTGGTTACACTACAGTAAGCAGTTGGAAAAAAAACTGTAAACAATCTGTTGTATGAAGTGCAAGAGAAATAGAGATGACTTGACTTGTATATATATTCAGTATATATTTACAAAATGAACAGACATGCAAGGGTCAAAAATGTATTAGGAATCTAAACTCAAAGTTTTGAGGAACAAAGTGATCAAATTAGTATACACGATAAACAGAAATACAAGAGAGTAAAAATAATTTATTCCTTCCTGAAAACACTGAGTTTTGATTTCTAAGTGATCCAATAATGTATAAGTGTTTTCACACATTATCATTGGGTGTAGGTCATCAGTAAATGAGTGTGCCATTTGTTTCCCAAATGAAACACAAGAGCTGTTAGTTTAGAATGATGTGTTTAATGTAGAGAACTGTGTTTAGCATTTTACAAAAGGTTTGTTTTAGAATTGCAAACTGAGTGTGCAAACTGTACAAGCTTATAATGTGCTTGTAATTTTGCAGACTTGGTCTGAAGATTCTGTATATGAGTGAATGATGAAACTGAGAGGACCTCAAGTACCACTTTGAGAGTGTAAGCTATAACTATTAGCTTTGAAATAATTACACACCTTAAATTTAGCATTAGTATTTGTATCAAACCCAACCCCCCAAAAAAAATCTTACATTTGATAACACCCTTGCTACTCTGCTTTCCAAGTCCCCTGAGCATTCCAAGCTCTCCAGTGTCACTTCCAAACAAGCCCAGTTTACTCCAAATCCAGTTCTGAGAAGCCAATCAATAGCCTGTTCAAATGAGGCTCATTGAGATGAGTGCAACCAAAAGAAAGCCGCTCAGTAGCCCATTGTCCCCAATAATAGGAGGAGAGAGGATATACAAAGCGAAAATGAGCTTTAAAAGGAATTATGCAAAAGAACACGTGCAAATCCTCTCAAGCATTATGAGTGAACGCCTTACATCGAGTGAAGACATGAAAGCGGGGGTTTGTTGTGTGTGTGTGGATTTGGTAGGAAGCCTGTGGTCAAATGATCCTGTTCGTAAATCAACAAAATTAGCAGTTGCAAAGGCAGTGAATTACAGTAAATACTGTACTATGTGTGTGTGTGTGTGTGTGTGTGTGTGCCCACATAATGTCTGATTGCAGTGGTTCAGAGAATCAGAGGGAGCATAATTAGCATTAATGTGGCCATTATTAGGTATAATGCAACCTTATGAAATTATGTTTTCATTACCGTCGAGAGCTCTCCATAATTTTTGTGCGTGAGTGTGGTGTGAGACTAAACAAACAATATGAGTGCATTGAGTTAGCATCCAAAAACAAGTGTAGTTATGATAAATGTTGGTCATGGGTGTCCACTTCTTGTGGAGAGCTCCCAGCATGTTTTAAATTCACATTAAACACACATATCTTCCTTCTTATAACAGTTCTAATGTCAACATTATGCTAATGGAAAATATGTCTTCATTTCATGACACCGGTCATAAATAAGCTATATTTCGGTGGCTCACATTCCTTATTGAAGCATTAGAGGCAAAAACCCCAATGGCTGGGGCTACAACCCCAAGCAGCCCCATGGGGGTCCTGTTGACGGCGAGGGAGATACCGTTTCATTGCCTCCGCTCGCTTTTTAGCATTCTAAAACCTCTCGACAACGGTGTTTACTGAGTCACCGAAGAGGCCAGGAGGCGATAGCGGGACGTCCAAAGAGAAGTATTTATCTTTATCTTTGATGGCTGATAAATTTAACCAAAGATGCCTCTCCGATACCACATTAGCTGCCATAGACTGCCCAATGGCACGAGCGATCTCTTTTGTGCCTATGAGAGTAGTAGTTTTCGTACCAAGTCAGGCCCGTCCCCTCGCCAGTTCTCAGTGAATACATTTGTAGCGAATAAATGCCGCTCTCAGGTCACTCAGCCTCATCCTGCTCTTCACATAGATTTATTCCATGTCCTCGATATCTCTTTGGGAAGGTTGTGGAATCTGTAGAGGTACTATGCTTGGTGTTAAAAAGAGCTTGTCTAACAGACTTTTGGGATGATCGCCTTGTTTCTTGGCTGGTCATTCCATATTTAATTTTTATACAGTGCAAGATAATACCTCCACCAGCTCCTCATTCGCTGGGGAAAAAGCTGGTGTTTCTTCTTACCCCATTTCGATGCTCAGCACATCTAGTTCCTCTGAAATAGTCAGCTGAAGCATCTGTGCCTCTTCTCGGGCAGAAGGACTCTGGAGAGTTTCTCTCCAGAGTTTCCAACTCTGGAGAGAGAGCACTGGATCCCACAGGTAAAGTCTGAGAAAGGACGGGGCCCGTCTCTAAGCCCGCCGTGAAATCCATTTGGGTCAGTGCTTGTCAGCTGCATCAGAATTGGGAACCAAACCTGTTTTTTTCAGAGCGAAGCCACAAGTAGCACTGAGCATCCGTTTTCCCTGATTCGTCACCCAATACCTGAGGCAGGAGCGAGACGGACGAAAGGCATAGAGTGGAGAAAAACTTTGAACAGTGAGCGTTTTCCTGAGAGGCAAACAGGACTACCTGCGTTCTGCCGAATGTCTCCCACAGCAGTTAGGACCGTCTGCAGGTGCAGAGACCATTCTCCTGCTGGAACATTGTTTCTGGACAGTCTGTCTGGTCCCAAATTCAAGTGACCAGGCACATGTGCTGCTCTCAATGAGTGCAGATTGTGCTGAGCCCAGACCAGGAGTAGTTCCATCAGCCTGTAAAAGTTTCGGGACCTGACGCCACCCTGGCGATTTATGTAGCCCACCACTGACATATTGTCCAAGCGGACCAAGACGTGGTGATTTTTTTTTATCTGGGGAAAAAATTACTCAGCACGTTGTCGACTGCCATCATTTCCATAAGTTAATGTGTAGAAGCTTCTCCCGTTATGACCACTGGCCAGAGGAAGGTCTGCCCACAAGTGACGCTCCCCATCCCTAGGTGAAGGCCTCCATGGACACCACCTTCACACTTGAGGAAGTCCCAAGGTTGTACCAGTTGATTGCTTTCCAAGGTTTCAGAGATGTGGCGCATTTCTGATCGACCTTGAGGTGAAACAGACAGGAGGCCCATGCCCGAGGTGTACTCGGCACTATAGCGGTCGGAACCGCAGACTCTGAGAAAAATGCCAGGTGAGTCCTCAGAGTCACCATGGGCCATAGCTAGCAATGATGGCAGCCGCCGCCAGCAACGCAAGAGCTGCATGATCCTTACCCAGGCAGGAAACGCAGATGACATGGCGGTCCCCGTCACTGAGTGCGGCTCGGCACGACCCACAGGAACGAGGCATCTTTAAAAAGATGCTGCTCTTTTACATAGAGTGTGAATCGCAGCGGCGAAAACACACTCGGCAGATTAAAAGGATATAAAAGCTGGAATTATTAGCAGGTACAGCGACTGAAAGCAGCGAGATGAAGGCCAGTGCCTTCAGATGCAAAGACTCGTCCCACAGAAGGCTTTTCTCAGACGGCGCGGCTTCATCACTCCGGATCCAGCG